GCCAGCATGGCTGGCTGGGGAATTCTGGGAGTTGAAGTCCACTCATCTTAAAGTGGCCAAGTTTGGACAACACTGGCATTAAACAATATCTCTACATGAATCTGTAATGTTTCATGTTTGTCTAGGGAAGAAGTGCGTTGGTGCAATAATGCTGCTCTCAAGACAACTGTGACAAAATGGCAAAACTTAGAGGTGGGGATACTGTATTTTCTCCGTTTCCTGTGTTCCAAGGCTGTTCTTTTTCCAGCATCAATCAGTCACTCACACTTCTGTTTTAAATCACTTTTCCGGAGTATAAACAAGATCCCCAAAGCCAGAAGTCCAATCCTATGTGCCAGGGGCATCTACAGGGGGATTCCCAAAAGTCAAGATGGCAGCCGTAACTGTGTGCTCCACCTCTTTTTACAAGCATTGTGCCTGTGGTGTAGCCGCCATCTTGATTTTTCTTACCTCCTTACCTGGATGCCCTGTGTGCGCTTATTCAGCAATAAGTCCCAGTGAGCTCAACGGGATTTATTCCTAACTAAGTGATGCATACCCATGCACCCCAATCTCCCTCCTGTGAATATTGAAACTGAATATTAGTCCAATTTCACTATCGATTCCACTTGGACAGCCTAATTTCACCATAGTGAAAAACATTCTTGCTTCTTCTTGTTTTTTTGTAAACCCCAAATCTCTCTAGTGCTTTGTCAACTATAGAACTATAGTTGTGATTGAGCAATTACAGTTCAGAGGTATAAGCCTACAGAATACAAGAAACACTTTTCTATTTCTGATTATATTTTATATCTATGTATTGGAAAATCAAAGTGATAGTACTCATGGAAGTACAGAAAATGGCTAACCTATGTTATTTGCATCAGATTGATCTCACCAGCAGATTAATCAATTATGGAATTGCTTCTGGGCATGAAAAATAACCCCTTGTAAGTTAAAAACAAAAACTGCATCAACTAGGGAAGCACTGTTCTGAACTAAAGCTTTTGGTACATTTGCTGGATAACTCTGTATTTTTTTCTTGAAACCAAGAACATGGCAAATGTGTCCAATATTCTCAGACTGTAGGTGTTTCGGAGGCATGTTTCTGAAATATTGTATGCCAAATGGCTCTGAAACAAAACACTCTGTAAAGGGTCATCATATAGTTTTTTCGCCCTTTGAGAAGGTTTCTCCAGAAATCCATCCTGTTTTCCTCGGGTTACAGCAGCTTCAAGTTCCTTTTTTTAAGTGAGAGGCAGAGTAAACATCTCACACCAGTAGGCCAGTACTGGTGATTTGTCACAGAATAATCCTAGCACTGCTCTGATACAATGAAGCCTTCCTTCTCACCAACTGGTTCCACTTCAGCATACGAGGGGTGTCCAGACCCTCTCCGAAATTTCATTGCAGGCCATCTGCTTGGGCGACGCTAGAATAGCAGACACAGCACAAAGAATTCAGATTACTGGAACTGTTCTGAGTAATTACACCACCTATTCCTATATACATCACAGAAAAAAGGAAATGTCTACAGAAGTATTTCAAGAGAATGAGTAGAACCACTTTTAAAGAAAATAAAAGGAAGGTCAGATATAATTTAATTGAGAAGGCTTCAGGATATAAGTAGTTTTATATACAAATGGAAAGAGGTGTGAAGACTTTTTTTGATAGGGAGGGAAACTCTTTCCAATATTCAACTACACCAGCAGAACCTTATACTTTTTTTTTTAAAAAATCAGGCTGAATTGGGGCCCTGATGTTCACCCAGCTGTGAACACCTCATTGCTAAAGCAACAATTTTTTTCCAGAGGGGAGGAAGAAACAATTCCATAAATAATTTGAGGGGGAAGGGAAGTCAGTGGAAAGGTGATGCTATTTTTTTGTATGTTTGTTTAATTTTAAAAACACCTTCCTTCTGTTGATAGGACCAAGTAACGTACCTCACATTATCAACTTGCAAAACTCTCTTTCCACCCAGCAGTTCCCCGCATTGCATTTTATGCCACTAACGAAGTGGCCCAATGCCAAAATATTATTCCTAATGGTACTGTGTATCTGTTCCTTGCTTTTCCTCTGGAACAGACCACCATCTTGATGCCTCTGACTTTGTCTGGCACCGAGCAATGATAAGCTCTCCAATAAAACTATTACTATTTAACAATGACCAGCGTGAATGAACCTCTTGCATTAGCAATAAAATGCACTTAGAACATTTGTCCCCCATCTGACACTCCCCAGATATTCTGAATGGCTGAACATATTATGAGGATGCCAGGTTGGAGAAGGCTGACTTAAGAGTCATATGAATTATTTCTATATGACCGCAGCAAGATATAAATGTGATCACTAAATAAATGTACTAAATTGATATTTATCAGTAAGATCATCGCACACACAACTCATGGCAACCTATTTCCAAGAGGAATCAAAGGCTGGGGGGGAAGGTGACTTGATGTCAGCGATCATTCATAGGAACCAGTGATTCTCCAAAAGCAGTCATTGTAACATATTGTTCTGGGAGAAAAAGTCATGCTCATGTGCTGTGTGGCTTCCCAAGTTCAAGATACCCTCCCTGCTACTTATCATGTCATTTAACTAAAGGCCCCCCACACAGTGTAAATCCAGCACAAACAATAACAGCATGCCAGGCAAAAACAAAGGCTTGTGTTAGTTGGTCTCTGAAAATACGGCACTGTTTCAGGGGAGAGGATGAAAAATGCACTTCCACCATGTCATAGGCTGTAGACCAATTATGGGAAACACAGTTTACCTCAATGAAGAAGAGACTGGCTGCTGAGGTGGGGTGGTGATACATATACACAATCACAAGGATTGCTGCAGCTACTATCAGAACCAGTATGAAAATCCCAACAATTAAGCCAGTGTGAAGAGTGGAGCTTTTCTTTTCTGCTGCACTGTCGTCTGTGGAGGCTGTGAGAAAAATACACGGATTAAGCTTGGCAAGAATTCATTTCATCTCTCTTATTTTCCTCACATACAATAAGCTGTTGCCTTGACAAAATGAGGCATGCCTTTTCCTGTGCTAAATACTCATTATAATACCTCCTCAAAGACAATTTCCAGATGTCTTCTTATTTCTAGCTTAATAAAACAATATTGATGTCCACTTCTATTCATGTCACTTAGGTACTGTAGTGTTTCCAAATGAAATCATGCAATGACTCCATCTTTTGTTTCCTAATAACATATTAAAATTTACCTACAGAGATGCATTAATGTTTTGAAAGCTAAATGTCCTCATCAAATCTCACAGCTTCTGAGAAGAATCAATACAATCTGAGAAGTATAAATCACCATTTCTCAAACTTCTTTCTTATTGTGGAGCAGATGGGTACTAAATGATCTTTCAATATTTTGGTCTGAAGAGAATCCAACGATCATATAAAAATATTGCTAAAAGCCATAATTCTGCTACGTTTTATAGCATAATGTTCCATGTTGTGATGTATTAACAAAAAGAAACATCTGAGGAAGTTTGTCCTGCAGCAAACCTCTCTCTCTCTCTCTAAACTCTCCAACCATGACTCTGATTAACCTGGCTGATGTTTAGTTTATACATTCAGTTACTCTGCTACTGCCAAATAGCAGATGGCCAAGAATAGTTCTGATTTTGGATAATCCTAACAACAGGAGCAATACCGAATTTTATTTATTTGTTACATTTTTATACTGCCACAATCAAAATACTACAGGTTAAATAAATACATTGCAAAGACATTTTGATTAGTCCTGCTAGGTAACAGAAGAGCATTTTGTGTGAGTATGGTTAAACTTGGTTTCCAGATTTATATTATCAGTCCAAAACATTTACATTAGGTATTATTCAAGAACAGATAACATTTGCAGATGGAGGGCCAGATTTTTAGGATAATTTTCAACATCAAGGGCTGCAGGAGTGGGGCAAAAACGTAAAATGAATAGAGTGGGATGAGTTTTCTATATAGTTTTAGATATCTTATAGTCTTTATGAGAAGGACATTCTCCAGAATTCTGCTGCTTTTGTGGCCCCAAATCTGTCTGGAGTTTAATGTAACCCATGTGTTTGTTTTCCTACTAGAAATCGCACCACTGATGTTTGGCCAAGTCCCACCAATTTCAGCAGAGGGCCACAAAAGAGATGTTTGGAGACCACACTTGGCCTGCAGGTTACAGTTTACTGTTCTTATATTATATAGAGACAAGCTGGTTCTGAAAGTAAAGTGCCTTCCCAGAAGATAACTGTAGCTCCTGGATAAATAAACCTCAACAATCTTGACATATGATGCTCAACAGATTTAAATAATGAAATGTGCAGTTTAAACAGTCAAATACTATGCTTTCATTATGTTTCTTGCAGTCTTGCTTGAACACATGGCCTGACAAGAAAATAACTAAACAGAAAGCATCACATCATTATGAACATATGATCCAGTCCTATATATGGGTCATCACCCTGTCTGAGGGAACAAGGGCTACAACATACATGTGCTAGTGTGGAATCTGATCAGCCTATTAGAGGTCTACCTAATGCCTTCCAGATGTTTTAGTCTTCAATTCCCATCCCAAGCCCACATAATCAAAGGCTATACTAGCTGGGGATCATGGAAGCTGAATTCCAATACTTCTGGAAAGTACCAGTTTGAGGAAGGTTAAGTTAAATGGTGTAATGTATAAGTGGACATATCCTCCAACGGTGTACTTCAGGTTCTCCACCAGTAGGAAATCACTAAGCAAAAATGATAGAGAGCAAAGCTTCAGGAGTTCAGAATTGCAGTCTGTACATAGCCCTTCCTGATGCACTAAAACAGTGCAGGTAGTCCTTGTTTAGTGACTGCCTCATTTAGCAACTGTTTGAAGTTATGATGGTGATGAAAAAGTAACTTTATGACCTATCCTCGCATTTACAACCTTCGCAGTTCTGTAAAGCAAAGCGGAAGTAAGATTATAAGCACAGTTGCAGTTTCACTCAGTAACCATTTTGCTTAACTACTGAATTGCCAGTCCCAATTGTGGTCGCTAAATGAGGACTACCTGTGTTTCTTAAAGTGTAGTCCTCGGATCTCTGGGAATCCCCCAAGACCCTCTCAGGAGTCTGCAAAATCAAAATTATTTGCCAACCTATGTTGAAAAATAATACAATATTAAAATCCCATTGAACAATCGTGAGAAGCAAATGAGTCCATTTTAATTTTTATAGTAACTAACAATAAATATAACACATACAAACCAAAGCTCTTTTGGGGCCCTCCATAATTTTTGAAAGTGGGAAGGGGTCCTGAGAGAAAAAAGTTTAAGAAACACTGCACTAAGATATACAACTCAAACCCCTCCACACTGTAGAAGCACATGTAATCAAACCAAATTTACTGTGTTCATTATAGCCTAAATACCAATTATACAGAGATTATAGAATTAGCTAGGATAGCACAGACATTCTGAATAATCCTGATAATTTGCTATTGACTTAGAGTAAATTATTTTGCAGATTGTTTTATGTTCTATTGTTGAGTTGCTACACATTTTACTAAAAGCAAACAAAAAATAGCTGTTTATTTTCCTGTAATGTAAGGACTTGTATCTGCTAATAGGAAATGCACATAAAAGACCTTTCTGGATAAGTTTCAAATAGTGGAACAACAAGTGCTTAACACTGTCAAAGCCCATGAAAACATGTTAATATGAAAGCCGTTTATTAGATTGACTAGATTAAATTCCTCAAAATGAGGATTATTAATTTGTGAGGCTGTTTTCCCAGGATGAATAACTTCAGCACTTTTTTTCCCAGTAGAATATTTAAAAAAGCCTTCTTTAAAAGAAAGAGTAAAGCAGTATCAAAGCCAACTCATAATTTCTTGACATGAAAAGCACTGTTTTCCTGAGAACCATAGAATGAAAAAGAATGGAAGTGACCATACAGCAGAGGCAATCATTCTGCAATCCCACCTTCTTTTTGTGGCTCTTAGAGATCTCTTGATTGCAGAAACATAGCAGCACAATTTCCCACCATTTTGTGTTAGGAAATACAGGAAAAATGTAGCGTACACTCTAAAGTAGGGATATTAGATAATATAACATACAAGTACAGGTCATCCTTGCTTACTGACTGCCTTTTTTTAGCAACCGTTCAAAGTTACAATGGTTGAAAAAAAAAAACAGCTTTGCAACCAATCCTCACATTTACAGTGGTCGCAGCATCCTGCAGTCACGTGATCGCCATTCAGGAGTTTTGCAACTGGTATGCATTTATGACATGATTGCCATTTGCGAGCTTCACAACTGGCTTCCAACAAGCAGAATTAATGGAGAATGTGGAAGTCATATTGCAAGTTGCGGTCACATGATATATCGCTTACTGACCACAGTGATTTGCTTAACGATGGAAGCGGAAGTGATGTCATAAGTCTGATGCAGTCACTTTGCTGGGCCCAATTGTGGTCGGTAAGTGAGGACCACCTATATTATGGAACAAGTATACAATATTTCCAGTGTTCTGAAAGCAGTGGTGCTGAAAAGTTGACAACATGAGCTAATGGATTTTCAGATACCCAAGTGTATCCCTATAAAATGTAATTGTCCTACAATAGTTATTGCTCTACCATTTCGAAGCCTGGATGTTACACTGAATGAAGAGATCAAATTCTATTTCAGCTTAACTCTTCTTTTGCCCAGAAATGGCTCAAAGCATTTTGCTCTTCCAAGCGAAGAAGAAGTTTACAGGTAGCAGAACAATCTATATAAAACAACCAGCACTATCCATCCTGCTGCCACTTCTTGTCCATCAGCATCTGCTGCCTGAAGGAAGGTATCCTGTGGAATGGTAGGACTGACCGTACTTCTTTGATGAATCTTTTATGTAAAAAAAGTGACAGTGCATAACAGCTGCACATGAAGACATGGGCATGGTGTAGAAATACTGCACCCTGCTGCTGATACAGTGCTACCCACCATCTTTTAAAGATCAAATTAGAATTGATCCTCCAAGCTAGAACTTGCATGAAGATCATTAGCAGGCTGCAGGCACTCCAAAGGAATTGTGAATTATGAATATTATACCATAGACCAGTGTTGTCCAAACTTGGCCACTTTAAGATGAGTGGACTTCAACTCCCA